CCACCGCTGCTGCACCCCAGGACACAGGATTTATGCTCCCAGAATGGGTGTTCCCGCAGGTCCACCCCAAATTGAGCTCCAGGGATGGAGGGGCCCCATTAAGCTGCTTAAATTGGCCACAGGGATGCTTCTGGTCCCAAGGAGGCCCATGGGTCTGAGCCCTGATGGCCCCATTTCCCGAGGATGAGGAGGTGCCGGTCACCCCAGCCCGTGGCAGCACGGGGACATGGTGATGGAGTGGGGCTGGCCAAGCCCCCCCTCTGCCTCCAGCACAGTCTTCCCAGCTCCAAAAAAGGAGACCAGACACAGCACTTTAAAAAAAAAAAACCCCACCAAAAAACCAACAGCAAAGCAAGCCGAGCCCGAGGAACTGCCGCTTCCCAGCGAGGCCCTTCGGCACGGCCGCGGCACGGCCACGGTCCCCGCTCCCGGCGAGGGGCCCTGTGCGATGCAGGGAGGAGGAAGCCAGGGCAGAAGGCTCCCCTCCTTCGGCGATGGTGGGAACGGGCTGTATTTTTAGAACATGATCTTATACAAACATCACTCCCTGGCCAAACATGGTCTGTAGGTTTTTCTTGCCATTTCCCTTCTTCCCCCCCGCCCCCCTGCCGCCCTCCCTTTTTTTAAGCCTGTTTCTCCCCATCTCCGAACTCCCTAACACCCTCTCCCCACAGCCCAGCTCCTCCTCCTCCCTCCCAAGTCCCTGCAGGCTCCTTCCCGGTTTTGAATTCCCCAGCAATTACTCCCTGCGTTGACTTAAGGGCCTTTACTGGCAAAATGCTCTTTCCCAGCTGCTGTCTTAAAGGGACACGTGTGTGCGTGCAGGGTTATCCCGGTGTTTGCAGCTTCCCGTGCACGCACCGTCCCATCTCCCAGGCTGCCAAAGGCTGGAAAACAAACCGCTGCTAATGGGATCTGTGTCTGACCCCTACGGGGTGGTACATCACGAGCTCTCCCCTTCCCCGTGCCTCAGTTTCCCCTGAGAGCACGTGGAGAGGTAGCGGGGAGGAGGGGACTGATCCCGGTTTCAGCTGGGATGGGCTGAAACCAGCTTGGCCACTGGAGAAATAAATAGAAATGAGTAAGGCAAGGGAGAAGGAGGGTGCGAGGAGCACTCATGCCAGGCAGGAGTCAAATAACCCAACTTGAAGGCCAGGAAAGGTTATTGCATTAATTAAACACCGATAATTTTGCCTTGCACCTAACTGGCAGGGAGTCGGGTCCCCAAGAGCTGCCAGCCAAGATGTTATGCACCAGGAATGAGCAGGGATCAGCGTCTTCCTGGGCAACAGCATCTTCCTGGGCTCCAGAATCATCCTGGGCTCCAGTATCATCCCAGGCTCCAGCACCATCCCATGCTCCAGCATCGTCCCACGCTCCAGCACCATCCCAGGCTCCAGCACCTTCCTGAGCTCCAGCATCATCCCACGTTCCAGCACCTTCCCAGGTTCCAGCATCATCCCGGGCTCCAACACCTTCCTGGGCTCCAGTATCATCCCATGCTCCAGCATCGTCCCACGCTCCAGCACCATCCCAGGCTCCAGCACCTTCCTGAGCTCCAGCATCATCCCACGCTCCAGTATCATCCCACGCTCCAGCACCTTCCTGGGCTCCAGCATCATCCCACGTTCCAGCACCTTCCCAGGTTCCAGCATCATCCCAGGCTCCAACACCTTCCCGGGCTCCAGCATCTTCCTGAGCTCCAGCATCGTCCCAGGCTCCAGCATCATCGTGGGCTCCAGCACCTTCCCAGGTTCCAGCATCATCCTGGGCTCCAGCATCTTCCTGAGCTCCAGCATCGTCCCAGGCTCCAGCATCATCACAGGCTCCAGCACCTTCCCAGGTTCCAGCACCTTCCCAGGCTCCACCATCATCCCGGGCTCCAGCGTCTTCCTGAGCTCCAGCATCGTCCCAGGCTCCAGCATCATCGTGGGCTCCAGCACCTTCCCAGGTTCCAGCACCTACCCAGGCTCCATCATCATCCCAGGCTCCAGCACCTTCTTCCCTCATCCAAACACCACCACCTCCTTTCTCCAGCAGCCACGAAAAGGACGCACCGGTCCCCACCACAGCCTGCAGGAACCACCTTCCCTCGGCCCCGGCTGGACGTGGAGGTGGTGGCCCCTCTCCAGAACATCCCAGTGAAGCCAGTCCCAGGCTGGGCTGGGAGAGGCAAAGAGCAGCTGCGATGAATCTGCCCTGGCCAGGACCCAGCCCGCGAGCAGCCCAGAAGACCCACTGGGCCGAGTTCGAGTCTATTTTTCAATCTGCTGATCAGAAAAGCCGCAGCGATGTTCGCAGAAGAGCTGAGGCCAAGGGGGTTGCGTTGCTCTTCGAGGGGAAAGACGATCCTTGTTTCCCCACGGCTCCTGGCCATCCTCCTCGCCCCAGCTCCCTTCTCCACCCTTGCTGGAAAGCCCCCGCACTCTGCAGGAGAGGGGCTTGCCCAGGAGCAGGCTCAGAGAGCGCTGAGCTCCTTGGGAAATCACTAGTTAAGCCAAAATCCAAAAACCACGTTCAAATCACAACCCGGCCATCTGCTCGGGCAGGTCCCACAAGCCCTGATTTCTTAAGTAAGCGCAACGCAAGCCTGGATGTAACGAGGAAGACGGGGATGGGAGTTACCAGGAGACGCTCCGTAGAGGATTTGGGGATGGGTTTTGCAGCCGGCGCATCACGGCTGAGCCAGGTCCTCCCCAGGCAGCTGGATCCCAGCGGCAGAGTTCGAGTTTGAAGAGCACAGCCTGGGGACTGCATCGCCTCGTCCTAAAAGCACACCAGGATCGGGATCCGAGACCTCAAGGACAAGCCACTCGCTCCAGCCGCTCACTGAAGAAGCATCCTGGGGAGTTGGGAGGGACCAGGGTAATCCAGACCCCAGAGGCAGAGGCAGGATTTGGGTTGTTTCGAAGCAAACTTGGCTCAGGGACCACATCAGGGTTTGTTCGGTCCTGCCTCACGTTGCCAAGGGAAAAGGGCTTCCTTGCAGGAAACAGATTGCAGGAGTGCATGTCCTTGGCACCTGCAGCTCGCCCTAAACCACGGGCGGTCCTCTCCTCCCTTCCTCCTCCCGGAGCAGGGCTGTGACCCCACATGGATGCGATGCTCCCTGGGAAGCGGCCCGCGCTGCAGGGCCGGGGGAGGGCCGGGGTGTCGCACCCCGACCGCGACCGGAGGGAAGCTCCAGGCGTTCGTCAGCGAGGATGAAGGGGACAGCCACGTCCCACCCCCAGGACAGGCAGACACCGGCTGCTCCAGGGATCCAGCAGACGATCCCGTGGTGTGAGGGGTAGCGGCAGGTGGAGGGAAGCTCCGTTGGTGCCAAGGTGCGTTCCCGTACAGGGACGGGGTGCCAGGAGAGACCCGGAGAGAGGTTGAGGGGCTCCTCTGCCTGGGTGCTCCTCAGTCCTCGTGATTTATAGCATCACAGAATGGTTTGGGTTGGAAGGGACCTTCAAAGGTCACCTAGTCCAACCCCCTGCCATGGACAGGGACGCCTTCCACTCAATCAGGTCGCTCAGAGCCCCGTCCACCCTGGCCTTGAACACTTCCAGGGATGGGGCATCCACGGCTTCTCTGGGCAACCTGGTCCAGTGTCGCACAACCCCCACCATAAAACATTTCTTCCTTACGTCCAATCTAACCCTACCTTCTTTGGGTTTAAAATCATTGCAGCGATAAACCATGCCTGGGAAAAAGCAATTACAAAGGGAACGAAATAAGGCAGGGGACAGCACAGGCAGCAGGACACGCTGGGTGAGTCCCCAGGGTGGGGGCAGGGGACTCCCGCGCCTCGGGGCTGGATGCTGGTGGGACGCCTGGGCCAGGATGCTGGGCACAACCTCCATTTCCAGCTCCGAAAGGCTGGAAAA